AGTCTTAATGCCTTTGACCGCCTTTGCCTCTACCCACTTGGTGAAGTAGTCAACAACAACTAGAATATACCACCGTCCGCCTGGCGCAGGAGTATACAGACCCAAGATATCCATGCCCCATTTGGCGAATGGTATTGGGCTATGAATGATCGTCAGATCAGTGGCGCGACGGTGTATGAGCTTGCCAAACCTTTGACACTTATCACACTTTTTCACCATTTCCATGGCGTCTGCTTCTAGAGTCGGCCAGAAATATCCTTGCCGCCTGGCCCTAATTGCTAGTGCCCTGCCGCCTATGTGTGAGGCGCTGTAGCCCGAGTGTAAATCTTCCAGAATTCCATGCCCCATTTCTGGTGATACATTTCAAAAGAGGCATCAAAAAGCCCTTTTTAAAAATTTCTCCATTACGGATCTCAAAGTTGGCCGCACGTTCTTTCATTGCGGCCATTTCTTGATATGTATCCGATAGAGTGTCGTTTAACAGACAGGCCCGGATGTCGTCCATCCAGGTTGAACTTCGGTCAAGTACTCCAATGGGATCCTCTTCAATACTTTGTTTTTCCATCACTTCCTAGAAGACTGACCGAGGTGTACCACAGGAGGCGAATGACGCCAGCTTAAACAGAGCATCCGCCTAATTGTTCTCTGACCTAGGCACTTGACTTAACAGGAATTCGTCAAGTGTCCCAGCCTCTCATTTTTTACCTTTTTACAAAGTCTAGAGAGAGAAAGCAAAAAATTTTAGAGAGAGAGACTATGATAATCGCCTGAGATTTTCTGAACAAAAATTTTCGTCTGCCAATTTCGTTTGATATAGCCGGTTAACGCTTAACACCCTTCTTTTCCAGAAAACTCACCAAGGTAACCGTCTCTCCCTTTCTCAGCTCTTTCATCCTTTTTTTACCATTTGTGCATATTGCTTTGAATTGGATTCACCAACAACACACACGGCACAACCTAGGATAGTAGTCAGCCAGTCTCCTGGTACGGCTGAGTCTAGGACTGGGTGCCATCTCTAGGCGTTTGGTCCACCCCTGATCTTCCCCGAATCTGACCGTATGTGTGTCTGTGCAAGACACAATGGCTCGAACTAAGAAAACAGCACCTGATCCAGAGTATAGGGAAGACGACACATTACACGTGCCGGTTGACGAGGTATATGACCATCCTCCGAGTGCACCAAGCACTCCAAGCGATGGCATTTTAGAGGAGTCCGATCATGGAGACGGAGAAGAGGCCGGCTCTGGGTAAAGCTCCAAGGAATCAAGCTCACTGCAGGCGGATGCCGACAGTGAGGAAGATGAGGCGTCCTCATGGCCTGGACAGTCAAACCTATTTCAGGCTCATGTGTCTCCCAAGAACAGGGCAGGAATGGAGACGGGTCTTACCGCCTTCCTAGATAAACGCCCCTTACCGGAAAATTAGGGAATAAGGATGCCGCCAGCAGATGGTACCATTGCTTGGAAAGACGATCAGCGAAATGCTGAAAACTACTTTGGCTGCTATGAGGTGGCGTTCAAAGCGGGCCTCCGCTTCCCCCTTCACGACGCAATAAAGGCCATATTAAGGGGATATGACCTAGGCGTATGACAACTCACCCCCAACTCGTGGGTGGACATTCTTAGCTATATCGCCGCTTGTGAGATGCAAAACATAAAGCCCGACTGGGAGGCTATGCACTGCTTAAGCCGTGCCCCATGCTGCTGGAGGGCGTGGTACACTTTGACCACTCACCCGGAGTACTTGATGACGCTTGACAAGCCATCAAAATGGATTGATGAGAAGCAAGATTTATTTGGTCTCCTCCCCACAGACGGCGGCGCCAAATGTTTCAGGGTTTCTATGTGTCCTGCGGGAGAGTTACGTCACCAAGACTAGATCCTTGCTTGTTTTACCTGCACACAAACGAAATCCCCGGGGGTTCGGAGTACCGCCTCCGACGATCAAGTTAGAACTGGTCGAAGAAGAGTAAAAAGTGCGGAAAGTGAAAGTAGATCTTCTCGGATTCCGAGATCTGGTATTTTCTCTGATGTGAGAGAATTGATTGTATGTAATTGATAAGTATCATTTATGTCACTATTTTTTAGGAGTTTCTAGTTAGTTTTTCATTGTTTTGATATCTTTTTACTTAGTTTTAATAAGGTTTTATTTCATTTGTCGTGTTTGCATGTGAAATGTCATTGTTGATCAATTTTGGCTTTTCTTGCATATTTTTGGTTTCTTCTTGCAATAGATTAAACTTTATTGGTTTATTATTATGTTTAGGAACACTTGGATAAGTTCATTGCTCAAGATTGAAGAAATATAAAACATAAAAGAACAAGTAATGAAGAAATATGCACTTGATTTGCAAAGATCAAACTTCAAACGCCTATATCTTTTGATCTACAAAACGTTTCTGAGTGATTGCAATTGGAGATGAAATCTTATCTTAAGAGCTTTCCAACAACAGGTTATATGCTCAATTCCGATGTAAAATGAGGGAGTTATGTTCGTTTGAAGCTGAGCAGTTTTCTCCAGCGCGAAGGAGCAGGCGCGCAGTCTAAGAGGAGCGCCCCGCTCCAAACTTTCTGGAACAGTTCTGCTTCTCATTGTTGCAGCTAGGAGCGCCCGTGCACTGACGTTGGAGCGCCTGCTCCTATTCGTGCTGCTCAACTTTTTGCGGAGCTTCCTAGGCAATTTAATGATGGGTATAAATAGATTTTTTGCTCATTTTAGAGCAGAAATTTATTTATTTTTAGTAGTTTTTTAGGTTAGTTTTAGGTTTTTAGAGAGAGAAACTCTCAAATTTTGGAGAGAGAAAGTGAGAAACACAATGGTTTTCATGGATTTTGGATAATCAAAGGAGGAATTTGATGATTTGAAGATCTTCATTTTATATCAATGAACATTTCTTACTTTCTCTTCTCTTTATGCTTTATTTAATTGCTTTCATCATGTTTGAGTAGTTTTCCTTCTACTAGGTGTTGAATGAAGCTTTGTAATGATCAATTGAGTTATTTGAGATAAATTTGATGATAATTGTGTGATTAAATTGATTGAATTGATGATGGCATGCTGCTTGTTTTAGATTGGATTGATCTCGCATGATAGCAAACTTAATTGCATATTGGTTCTAGTTTGACAAGGGATTGTGAATTAGAATTGATATATTTGATTGCATTTTGGGTAAATTTCTTCTATGCACCTAGTCAATGAGGGATCTAGGCTAGGAATTTGATAGATTACTTTTGAGTGTAGTTAATTCCCATTTTAATTCTTTCTTTGCATGATTGATTATCAAATGGATTCTCATTTGCTTATTAATTGTTCAAATTGGATCTTTTCCCCTAGTAGACTTTATCATATCTAGTTCTTTATATGTGTTTTGTGTAGTTAAATCCCAGATTTGTGCCATTTTCGTTCTCCCTTACATATATATATATATACCATTTGTGGCATTTTCGTTCTCCTCTACCATTTTCGTTCTCATATATATATATATATATATATATATATATATATATATATATATATATATATATATATATATATATATACATATATATATATATATACTATTTTCGTTTTAGTGTAGTTGTAGTGTCCTCTATCCATAAACCGACTTCGGCATAGCTTAAGCATTAGATCAAGAACAATCTAGCATTACCGTTCCCTGTGGTTCGATTTCGAACTTACTACTAGACTTGTTTAGGGGTTAGTTTTAGGATTTATAACTTTATTTGACCGTTAGGAGGTTAGTCAACGACCTAATTTCCCCGCGTTCAGTAATAAATGAACGTGTCCCCAAAATGGGGTAAATCTCCCTATTTATAGAATCATGGGAATCAGTGCCCTCTTTTCTAAGTCATCAACCTAGGTAAATGGGATGCGCCATTTTTACGGTGTCCTCGGAATTTGAGCCTTGAAAGCCGCCTTTTTCCCTGATGATTGGAAATGCCACGTTTCAGCTGGTGATTAGTCCTGTTTGGACCTCTCCTGGGATGACACATGCCACCTTTTGATTGGGCCACGTGGCCTGTGTATTTTCACCATAAACAGGTGGTATTATCGTGGTGGATTGGTGGCCACTATGGGAGGAGATAGACTTAGGAAAAAAAAAAGTTTTGCAAGTCACAAGTCAAAGGGATCGTTGCTAGAATAATGATTTTTAGCAACAAGTTTTCGCAACTACAAATATTTTATTGCTAAAATAATGATTTAGCAACAAGTATTTTGTGTTCGTAACTAAAGCTTGTTGCTTAAAATATATTTCAATTTCCCTCCACTACATTCAAGAGGCGGGTCTACCAAAAAAGTAGGCTTATTTTCTATAACGACGGGTTTGTTGCTGTGATACAAATTATTTATTGCCACAATTTTAGTTCGTTGCTGCGGAAAAAAAAACGGCTATTTCACCAAATGCCACTGAGTAATGTCGAAATTCATTAAATGCCATTGAACTTTTCAAAATTCACCAAATGACACTGAGTTTTAGTATAATATCACCAAATGCCATTTCCGTTAGTTGACCGTCACTGTCCATTAGTTGACCGTTAGTTGACCCCACCACTTGCCACGTGTGACCTTCTGATTGGTCCTTTTTTAAAAAAAATAATTAAACAAAAATTTAAAAAAAAATTAAAAAAAAAACCAAAAATATTTAAAAAATTATAAAAAAAAAAAAAAAAAACCCAAATCCCAGCCACCACCCCAGCCCCACCACCCTCCCTTTCCTCCATAACTTCCGACCAACACCACAACCAGAAAACGCGTCAGATCCAACAGCCCCCCTCCCTTTCCCCTCCTCTTCCCCCGTCACGACCCACCTCCCCCATGAAATCCCTTCATCTTCTTCTTCTTCCCCCCATGAAATCGAAATTTAGAATGCTTTAACGTACTCCGTATAAATGGAGTAATATAAACCCGAAAACTGTTATCATTGAAATTCAAAGCAATTGTAAAATTGCAAACAAAAAAGGAAGAATTGGAAGTAGAAAAACGATTGAGTATGAAAATACCTTGACTCAATATGTCGACTCACAAGAGTAGATCTCTTCTTTGTTGTTCGTGTTGCATTTGATTCTTGACAGTACTGCAGCTCTAATCACTTCTACTATGCTTCATTCTATTTGGTCACCATTTTCTCCAGAAAATCAGATTTTCAATGAATTTGTGATTGAACTGGGAGATCTTACAATCAGATTTTTTAAAGATTACATTTTTTTTAATTTTATTATTAGAGATGTATATAGAAATCGAAATTTCCAGATTCTTCTTAGAACCCTTTAATTAATCGATCAAGGTTACTTAGAATTCCCAAGTTTTTTAGCTAAATTCTTACTTAGAAGGCAGAAGTTATGGCGGGCGCCGGTGTTGGAAGGGTCTTTGGTGGTGGTTCTTCCGGTGGTGTTGGTGTTGGAGCTTCTTTGTTGTTTAATCAGAGGCTACCTCGTTCTTCTCAGTCTCGATGGGGGGTGGGGTTTTGGATTTTGTATTTAAAGCTCCGGTGGGGCGCGACGGGGGAAGAGGAGGGGAAAGGAAGGGGGCCGGCGGCCGCCGGCACGCCGGTGCAGGTGGGCTGGTGGCTGCCTAGGTGGTGGTTGGGGTTTGAGGTTTGGGGTTTTTTTTTTATTATTTTTTTAATATTTTTGGTTTGTTTTTGGAATTTTTGTAATTTTTTTTAATTTAATTTTTTTTTAAAAAGGGACCAATCAGAAAGTGACACGTGGCAAGTGGTGGGCTCCACTAACGGTCAACTAATGGCTGTCAGTCATTAATGACACTCGGTGTCATTTGGTGAATTTTGAAAAGTCAGGTGATATTTGGTGAATTTCGCAATTGCTCGATAACATTTGGTGAAATAGCCGGAAAAAAAAACCCTTAAATTTTGGCTACAAAATAATTCGTTGATGAAGTAACAAGAATCTTATAGGTATATATATTATATGTATACAAAAGTCTACTAGGGGAAAAGATCCACTTTGAACAACTCGAAATTTGTGCCATTTTCATTCTCCCCTACATATATATATAGAAATTAGGTAAATCCCAGATTTGTGCCATTTTCGTTCTCCCTTACCTCAATTAACAACTCGATTTTATGGAATTTGCTACAATTTACTTATTGTTTCGATAATTTGCTGGATTCGTTGCAAAATTTCTCAATAATTGAGGTAAGAATTGTGAATTTGGTACAAATCGATTTTTAGGTTTTTTTTTTCCAACAATAATCATATCTGCTGTGATTGGTGATTAGAGGTCCGTAAAACTATTATATTTTGTTGATTTTACGTAATATTTGCTGCTTTTTTTTGTGCAAATTAGACTGGATTTTGCTGCAATACATTTGGAATTTTTTGATATTTCGTGTATGAATTTGTGCGAATTATGAAAAATATTGCAATTTTGTTTGATTTTGTTGGTATTCTGATAAGCAACATAAATTCCTCTTAAGATAAACTTGATTTTCTTAAAAGTAAACTAAATCGGCTCCAAAGTAGATAGTTTTTTTTGCTGGCAGATAGCAATTGCCAACTTGTGTCCACGGGATGTAGCTCTGTATAATATTGTTGGTAGTTTGACAAGTATAGTAATGAGTGAAGAACAAAGTTTGGAAACTTGTTACTCATAGCCTGAGATTATGTTTCTTGCTGGAACAAAGCATCTGTTTGTAAGTTGCTTTGGAATTTAGCAAACAAAAAAGACAAGGTCTGGGTCAGGTGGATTCATGAGTACTATATCAAAGGGAGAGACATCACTCAAATGGAAGCGGGAGTTCATTTCGGTCACGGTACTCGAAAAATGGAATCCTAGAATGGTGCCTTATATCTCTACAAAATGTAAGGGTATTCAGATTCTATCTCAATTAGGTGAGGGGTGTGCAATCCCTGTGAATAAGGTCCCCCACCTTCAAAGAGAATCAATAACATCTTCTCCTGGTAGGAAGTAGGTTTCGAAGCTGTATGAAAAGACAGAGTCAAGAAAAGGTTGTGAGCAGTCTCAAGGGAAGCCCGAATAGCGGATAGTTTGAACGGTGGAAAGCAGCCTAGGAAAGATTTCTCCAGGTAGGAAATATATATAGGTTTCTATAAGCGAGCACGAGGGTAGTGGGGAATCGTCGAGTTAAGGTACGTAGTCGCTTAAGCGAAGGTTAAGGAGTGAAAAGCGCGGAAGAGAGAGATTTCTCTCGTTAGTCCAGGCATGATTGCCGCGGGTTGTGGCCCACCCGACGGACTTCCATGGATGTAGTCAGCGTTGAGTCTATGTCACACAGGGCACCAATCAATTTAGTTGGGAAGATGGCAAGGATGAAAGAAGGATATCGAGAGAGATGGGAAAAGAGTACAGAAGCGAGAGCGGGCTATAGCTTGAATTGGCTCGTGCACACACACATGAAACTTAAGAAGGGGAGGGCTTTTCCAGCTAGAAAAAAAGCAACCAACAAAGCCAGACAGCAAGAAAGAGAGTGGGGCAGTCTCATCCCATGAAAGGTAAGGAAGGACTGCAGCTTTCCCGAGTGGAAGAGGTTCAATTCAATTCGACTCTGACTTTGAAGCCCGGCCGGGTGAAGAAGCCTCAGCCCGAGCAAGGTTAAGGAAAGGCTGGCTTCCCTTGCTGAAGGAAGGGCTGTCCGAAGTAAAGGAGTTTATGCCAAGCAAGCTAGGGTCGGTTCGTATTGACAAAGAGCTGGACTTCTTAACTTTCAATGTTTTGTAGCTGTCTTCTCTCTCTATGGGTAAGTAGCTATTCCTTTATTCGCCGCTGGAAGAGATCCCAACTATGCTTCCCTCTAACGATAGAAGTGGAATCAGAGCTCCTTGACAAAAAGCTTGAATACAGAAAGATAAGATCAACACTGAATGCTTTCTATTAAAGAAGTTGCGCCTAATGCTTAACTAACTATTAGCAACTATATTAGATAAAGAGTGAATCTGTACATTACTATATGCTAGTAAGCACTTTATTAGGGTTAGGGTATGAAGGGGAAGCACATAACTAATAGGGTTCAGTCTTATACGATGAATCTTATCCCCCGAAGCCCCTATCGCCTGCCTGGAATTCCTTACTTTACTCTTTCACTAGAGGCCTAAAATAAAGCCTTTTTTTCTAAACTTGTGTTAGGCCTACCTATATCAGACAGCTTTCATTGGCTGGCCTTTCTACAAAATAGAAATTCCCTTCTATAATTAGATAACTGTATAAAGAAGACATAAACTAGATGACTAAGGAAAGTAATAGATGTCCTTGTTTCTACCCTTCCCTGACTCGACGGCATCAAACACATAGTTCTTATCCAACAACGAAAACAGGCTGGCTAACGATGAGAGGAAAACAACAAAAAGAACTACCGCTAACTGGACAACTAACTCGCTTCACTAAGGGCAAGGAGCTAAAACCACTCAATTCTTTTCTTTGTGAAATTAAGGAGAGCAGCCAGCTGCAAGGAGTATTGAATCAATCAGGTACTGTCTACTGTCTTTAACTACACTATCTCCGGCCGGCCGGGCAGGATTGAATTAATCAGGTAGTTTCTATCTCTTTGCATTACTTCTTCTCCTAGTCTTATTCCAACCTGAGAGTTTCACGGATGCTAGACGATATCCTTGGGGACATCGCCTAGTAGTAAGGCGGGATATCCACCCGGACATCCCTTACCGAAGGAAGCAACTGGAAAGAAAGAAGCTGTTAGCTAGATGGAGTAGTCTTACTTAGCAGCACAGTCTTTAACAGCTTATGCCTAAGGCTCAAAGGCTTTAGCAGCAAGCTGTACCGTTTAGAGATATTAATCTAAAAAGGCTTATAAAAATCTTTTGAGTTGGTACAGATGTGGTATGTGCTCTCTAGGATTTTGGTTGAGGAAGCTGCTTGATAGTTTGTGAAAGAAAAGGGTGTTGATATGGTGACTATAAATTCTGCAGTGGTTATCAAACCATTCCTGCAGCCAACACTCAACGTGAGTGCTGCTGTAATAGCAAGCTTAAGAATCTAGACGCGATAAAATGAAATTAATTAGTTGACACTTGACATACATACATATATGAATGATATATGGATTATGGAATAGGAGGTTACAAACTTACAAGGGTAGAATCAGAAGCTTCGGTTCGAACAGCGACCCTTGTGATCTTAGCCTTAATAGTTTCTTCTTTGGGCTTTTCGTAGGAATCTTCTTCATCACTAGAGGTGCTCTCAACAATGGTGTTGCTAGCATTTCTGACAGCAATACTACTTGTGTTTTCCAGTTTCCTTTTCTTGTTATCGTTACTTGAAGTGTTGCTCATGTATTCAACCAACTGCCTCTTCAAATCATTGTAGTTTTCACACACAACTGTTAGCATTTCTGTAAGCCTCTTGTTCTCTACATTCACCCTATTCAACTCCTCTATTAATGATCCTGTCTCCTGCAATTTCAATTTCGATTAAATATGGGATTGATTGCTTGTATAATTTAGTTGGTTTAGTTTGTGATTTTGGGAGATTTGGAGATGTGATATTTGGTTTTGAACTTGGTGTTTAGATCATTTCAATTGTGTAAAATCACAGAGATTAGGCTTCTAATTATTGTTGGGAAAATGATTATGTTTTTATTATCTGAAATGTATGATACAATAGGAAGTATATAGTTTTATAGCCAATTGTTCCTTTCATCCTGATTCCTGATTACACTGCTACAATTTTACATAAAAAGGGGATGGCTAAACATGGAAGAACTAATTGTCATTTGTATTCGCTTCTGTTCTGCAGCTGTAATTGGAGACAGGTTCTTGGCTAGAGACCTGACAATAGAAAACACGGCAAGTCCGGAGATGTACCAGGCAGTAGCAATCAGAGTGACCTCTAACTATGCTTTCTTCCGATGCAATTCACCTCCAACCAGGACACTCTCTACGCTCACTTCCTCCGTCAGTTTTACCGAGAATGCATCATCCAAGGTACCATTGATTTCATCTTTGGGAATGCAGCAGCCATCTTTCACAACTGCCAGATTCTAGCCCGGAAACCTATATATGGGCAGAGCAACATGATCATGGTTCAGAGCAGAGAGGACCCTAATCAGAACACAGGGTTCTCTCTCTCCAACTGCACAATCAGCGCAGCCCTGGATTTTTCTCTTCCTGATCGCAGAAGATCATTTACCTTTCTTGGTCGAACATGGAGGAACTACTCAAGGACAGTCATAATGAGAAGTATAATTTTGGTTTAAGTTCTTGTGAGATTTTCATGTTTAAATATTTTCAGTGTAAAAAAGACTCTAAAGTAAATCTATTAGCTCAAATGATAGAGCATTATGCGGATGCATAAAGATGTAGGTTCGATTCCTACATAGGTTACCTCTAAAAGTAAATACAAAACATTCTAAGGTAATTCAAAACATCTCAAAAGTATATCAAAATAGCTAAAAAGTAAATCAAAAGTAAGTAAATAGTATATACTTAAAAGTAAATAATGTTAACTCAAAAGTAAATAGTATTTACTCAAAAGTAAATAATATTAACTCAAAAGTAAATAGTATTTACTTAAAAGTAAATTATATCTACTCACAACTATTCCGTCTAGGACTCTAGGGTGCACATTGCTAAAAAGAAAAAGCAGGGTATTAGTTTACCAACATGTTTATATCTTTAATCCTTAGATAAGTGACCTTGAGTTTCTAGTAATAAAAGTAGATACAAAATAAGTTAAAATAAATAAAATATTTATTAAAGTAAATAGAAATATAATTCACCTTCTCTACTTCTAAAATAAGGAAATTGCTATGAAGAAATGCTTATTGACAATCTCTAATTGTTATGAATACTTAAATATCTAGTATAAGTGATAGAACCTTCTGTCATACCTTTAATCCTTAGATAAGTGAGCTTGAGTTTGTAAGTAATAAAAGTAGATACAAAATAAGTTGAAGTAAATAAAATATCTCTTAAAGTAAATACAAATGAACCTACGTGGGATTCGAACCCACAATAAATAAAAAATTACTCAATAGTGAACCAAATAATCTTAAAAGTAAATAAAATAATCTCTAAAGTAACTGCAATAAAGCCTTTGATTATGGTAACATAGTTTCGCTCTTTTATTTCGTATCTGGGTAGGGGTTGGAGTTGGAGATGGGGCATGTCACTGTTTGGTGATAAAGTGTTAGAACTCAAAATACGTCAGCTCAAAAGTAAATAAAAAGGCTAAAAAGTAAATTAAAACATCATTAAAGTAAATAAATAATATTATCTCTGCTCATGCTTCTGCTGCTCATCCTGCACAGGCTGCACTCTTGCTCACAGCAGCTTCCCGATCATTTACAAGAAGGTGGATATGGATGCATATGTTTGAGTGGGGCGGGTTATTAGGCTTGGGCCAGTGATCATGGATGAGTTGGATAAGGTTGTAGCTGCTGGAAAAGTATGCTCATGCTACACTTCTCCTGCAATTGCTGAAGCTCTCGCATTAAGATACGACCTCCAACTAGCAAGAAAATTGGGGTATTTAAAAGTAAATAAAAAAGAATCTAAAGTGAATAAAAAAGACTTAAAGTAAACTTAATTAAATACACACAAATAATTGAAAGAAATAATTTTATCTCATAAATAAACCTACGTGGGATTCGAACCCACTTCTTTTGTGCACTTGCACAATGCTCTACCTATTGAGCTAGTAGGCTAGGGTATATTGTCGAAGTAAAGAAAATTACTCAAAAAGTAAATAAAAAAAAAACGATCTCAAAAGTAAATAAAATGATCTCAAAAGTAAATAATTTAAGCTCAAAAGTAACAACTCAACAATTGCACACTAACACGCGCCACGAGTGCACACATATACATACATTAAGCAATTAAGATGGTGTTATATAGCAGCATAACACAGTGCAGCATCTGAATATGTATGACAATAGTGTCATTTGTTTCTTTGAATATTATCTATCAAATTCTTGTATATAAAGACTCTTCTACTTGCATCAAAATGTGCAGCTTAGTCAATTGTAAATTGTAACCAAAACACATATATTAATTATACCTGCAAAATCTGAACAGACTATTGCAAATTTAACCAAACAGTATTACATATTTTTGTTGAATGCCCATCATACTTGAGAATCTGACAATATACAAGCAAAAGGAGAGACTCCAATTGTTCCACCTTAACTTTTCTTGCTCGCTTGCAGGTAGATATCTTGCAGAAGGTTAAGTTTAACAAGTTCACAGTTGGAAATTGTTGGGCAGGAAACTTCATGCCATAGAAGAAGCAAGTACATATTCAGATGCTGCATTAGAAGTGACTTCTGGTTTAGCTGACAGTGAAGTACCTGTACGCGTGAATCCTCTAGTTGATCCATAAGTAATTGGTCCTGCAGTAGCAAATATTCACATAAAATTCTATTAATGTGGGTACTAACCAATTGATAACAACCAGCGCACCCCTGTCATATCTGATAACAGCCCCTAACCCAACACTCCATCCTTCGAAAATCGCAGAATGAGTACACTCGAACTAGAAGAATACAAAGTATATGCATTATCTTAGTGATGATAACCAATTGACAGCTAGCCAAAACTTGCATTTGAAGATGAATCCACCAAAAAGAATTGGGAATGGTGGACCACTAAACCAAATTAATGACTGCTTAAAAAGTGGTATTCGACATACAATTTCAATCACTAGTAAAAAGGGAATCCAATCATAGAGGAAGATGAGGTAATGTGCCTATGAAACCTTTTCATCAAACATAGGATTCCTCGGCTCCATGAATAACTACCTGACCTTGATATATTCTATACATGATAAAAGAGAATCATACCAGCTACATAAACTCTATCTATGCTAATAATAAAGAAATTTGATATTCATGTAGTTTACAGAACTTCTAACAACAATTCTAGTGCTAGTATTAACATAAAAAACAAGGATCAAAATTTGGGTTTGCACTATTATTAAACCATTGGCACACTACCTACCGTCCCTCGCTCAAACACGCAACAACAACCAACGACACACAGCAACACAAAACTACTGCCTGACTATAAATAGTCACACCAATAACATAGAGCTCAAGGCAACAGCCCCACATAGCAGCTCCTCACGCAACACCCCAAGTGCTTCCACCTAAAACCAGCCCCACAAAGCAGCTCCCCAAGCAACCAAAACAAAATTACCCTTACCGCATTGCAACCTCGTACACCCCCAAACGTTCAAAAAAACGCAATTAAAATTACAGCACATGCAACAATCAAAATTCACAAATAAATCAAACAAAAACTAGCAAAAAACCCTCGAACTTTCGACTATTTAATCTGATTATAAAATGCAAAAACACAGATTAATCAAATAAAATTAAAAATAGCAGAACCCCTAAATTCAAACTCGAATTAATTGAAACCAAATCGAGCAAACTTAAACTGAAGCGAGCAATCAACATACTAACAGATCGAAATTTGCATACCTTAACGGAAACACGCTAGAATTTGATGAACAAAAGCGAAGAAATCGTGACCGAACCCAAGAAAATCGCCTCAGATCACAGAGAATTTGGAGGAAGAGAGAGAAAGCATGAAGAAGAGAGAGAAATCAAAAAAGAACGGTGGATATATTTGGGTATAATACAGTAATTTACCAAAATGCCATTATTAAGTTAAAACGCGGACGCATCTCAGTCGTTGGATCAAATGGATCAAAGGCTCAGATTAGTTCCTAGTTCCTATTATTCACCTTGATTCTCACATAATTATATATAGGATTGATTTCCACTCAACTTAATTGAGAATGGTTAAGTGTTTTTGGCTACACACAAGCCATTGAATGAATAATGTTCGAGTACAAAACGTAGCTAAATATATCATAACAACCTAAAAGAGATAACAACTAAAATCTAGCTAAATATTATCTAAAAAGATAAGATAATATTTTACAGCCTTATTAGACTAATAAATTCCTACTAGCTTATTAGACCTGATTGAGATTCAATAATATCGCATGGACTAAAATTTTGTTTTATTTACCTTTTTAGAAATTTCAAATGTAAATTGTAGTCCTTGAAATTATTTATTTATTTTTCTCTTGTTTAGTGATTTTTTTTGTTTTGAAATTTTCAGGATAGCTTGAAGAAGAGAGTTCTGACTAGGTGGAGTGTCCCCGTGGTCGCTTGATACGACTGTTTGCGGCCTAGAGGCTTGGTAGGTTTTAATCCATATATCAATTTTTTCTTTTCTTTTTTTTAAATGTTAGTTATAAACTTACTATTGATTAATAAATTAAATGATTAATAAGTACAACCCCAAAAGATTGTTTCTGGAATTCTAAATTAGCTAGGAATTAATTGTTGACAACTAGTTTTTTGAATTGTGGCCTTATTATGTGAAAGTTAATACGAAATATGAAGCTTTACTTTGTCTTGTGTAATATAAATTGCACTTTTTTTTTTTTGTCTAAATAGCTTTTTTCCCTATAATAAAGACACTATTTTACTTTTGAATAGTACTTTATCTTTAATACAAATTCTAATCTGAACTTAAAAATTACACTTAAAGTTGTCATTTTTCATTTATACATGGATTTTATACTTAAAAATTAATACTTAAAAATTATACTTAAAGTTGTCATTTTCTAGTTATACATGGATTTTATACATGGAATTTATACTTAAAAATTAATACTTTATCTTTGAATAGTACTTTATCTTTTAATACATGGATTTTCATTTTTTAGTTTTTATGTGTAATGAGAATAAATAGATATATATAAATAATAATGAATATTTAAATACATTTATACATCTTTTTAACCTAAAATTAATATATGTAATTAAAATTGCAAATTTTAGTTTTGAAATATTTTTATTCAAAAGGAAAAGGAAATATTGTTTGAATCTCCGCTTATATTCTACTCATATAATACGAATTAGGCACATGATTTAAAATCTTTTGGAATAATTTAATAAGGTCTATGTAAACACGGTTATATATTTGATCACAAGCACTTCTTGACAATTCTTTAATTCGGCTAAGTCCTTGATTTGCTTGATCTTTGGTGTGTTAGATTTTGTTTGTGTCTATTCAATTTGCAAAAGTATCACAAAAAATGTATTATCTCCCTTGATGTCAATCATGTTATTTCACATACTTCTCCGTTTTTTATTAGATGATACATTTTTATTTTCACGAACTTTGGTGGATGAGAGAGAAAAAAATTATAGGACCCATGTGATAAGAGAGAGATAGAGTGAAAAAATTTCCCAAAAAAATAGTATATCATCTAATATTAAACTTCCTTAAATGGATTGAGTATCATCTAATAAAAATAGAGGAACTATGTGAGTTAATCTAGATATATGTGAGCCAAGTAAACCTAACAATTGGAACATTATAAGGAATTATCGTGCGTTTGTCTCATTGAAAAACTAAAAAGTTTGGTGAAGTATCTTTAGTGCCAAAACATTATAGGTATGGACTTTGACCAAGTCGTGTGTTCTTCTCATACTTGCAGTATAAGGGGCTGTTTGATTTGAGATAAAGAAAGGAATGGAATGAAGAAAGAGAATGGAAAGGAAAGAAAAGAAAAACCCTCCAATTCCTCAATTTGTTTGATTAATCAAAACAAAGGGTTTCTAGACCCTTCAACTATGGTTGTTGCAAATCTAGTAGATTCACTCATTTGCTTTCTTCTTCAAGCAAGCCTGCAACTTTTACATCAACCTCAACCCCATTCTATTAACCTCAACTTCTTCCATAATTCATATATCTTCTCTCTTCACCACCATTTTAACCATTTTCCCAATTCACAACCATAATTTGGAAACTCTCAATGCTTCGCTTATGCTTCACCAATTCTTAGTAGTAGAAATAGACCATCAAAGAGACCCATCCACCACGACCCACTCACTAGGAAAAATGCGTCGGCCGTCGAAAGCACATCCTACCCAACTTTTGCAAGATTTTTTTCGTCATTATATGGTTCTTAATGATTCAATAAAAGTTTCGTCATTATATGACAATAAAAGTTTTAGATCTAAAGCTTTCATGGTCAAATTGAATCATAAAAAGCCTTTATTCATGTTTCAGAGACTTGTGTTATCCTTCAATTTTATGTTGGTATGGTGGTTTTTGAGAAGTATGGTGCTTTTGGGTTTGGTGGTACGGTTGAGGTGACGGCGGTGATAGTGTTAAGGTTGTGGATAGCTACAAGGTATTACATGTGAGTGTTAAGTATGCTATGGGATTTGTGGGATGTATTTTTTTAGATTTGTAGTGGTGGCAGTCGCGGCGGCAGCGTTGGTGATAATGGCGGTAGTGGTAGCTGTTAAAATGGTGGTGTATATAGTGGCAGTGAGAGTTGTAAGTGGTGGTGGAAACTGAAAAGTTGGTGGATGGGGTTGAAGGTGTAGAGGGATTTTGGGGGTGGGAGGGAATTAGAATAGAGTGAAATGGGGGAACTTGAAACTGACTTATGGGGTAAGGAATTTTCTGAAAACACTTACAAAATGTATTCTAACGGGATTACCTTTCCCTTTCTTCATTACCCTATACCAAACAGCCCCTAAAGGTAATCTTAGTTAGTTATCTCATTATCTTCTAACTTTCCCATTCTATTGTATAAATACAACCACATTACTCATATCCTCAAATATATTCTTAGCACAAGGACTCAACAGTAACTCAATTCACTTAATGCTGCTTCCATCTTCATATTTTCTATAAATTCATCTAGATATCAACTAAAGTAAGAACACTGAAGTGAAGGTGAAATACAAGCCAATTAAATTTTTTGAATGCAAGGGCAACACATAAAACCAGTGTTTGTATCCACAATAAGAAGTATAAGAGAGAATATAAGTATGAAATTTAGAAAAAGTGAAGGATAAAACCCCATATTGATTATTTGGAAGTATGGTAACACAACTAAGTTAAATGGAATAAGCTGGAAATTAAATATATCTTGCTTCTAAGAATCACTAATGTGTAAACATCATTGTTTATAAAACAACTAAGTAATTGAAGTCATGTACAGATTATTAGACTATTAATTAGTTTTGTTACTCCTTTGGCTCTACTATTACTCTTTTTATTACTCTTTTTGTTTTCTTCCATTGATTGACCTACTTCACGTATTCTCCCTCGTTATTACCATGCGGTCAATGAAAAAGAACAATAAAATCGTAATAAGATATGATGAGCCAAAGAAATTGACTGACAAAGAGTATGACAAACGTTTGGCTTTATTAAAACTTAACTATAACTATCAAAAGGAAATTTCTAAGAATCAAACTCAACAATCCAAAAGTAAAATAGAACTAAGTTATACTTCATATTATGCAATTAAGCCATAATTTTACTTTCTTGATCCATTCTCTCTTTAGTCTCCTTTATTCCTAATCAATCTCGAGTTCCTTTTATGGCTTATGGGATTAAGGCTTTGATTGATTGATTGATTTGATTGAATCTCGAGTTTCTTCTCATATTAGATTTTTCTACATTGTAGTGGTAGCGTATTACACTTAACTAATATAATTGCTTAACAATCTTAAATCAAAGGATTTGAAAAATCAAATAGTGAGGAACTATATATTTTGGGCCAGAATCTATACCTAGTTTAAGAAGTGATCAACTCATTAGCTTAATATGTAGTGCAATAAAAAGGAAGGAATATAAACTATATATCAACGAATTTAGAGGAAGTTATCTCTAATGGAAATTTGAAGGTCACATTCTTTATCATAAAAGGAACAAAAAAAAAAAAAATTGAATGTTTTAGTTGAAAGGAAGAAGAGAAACTTGAGTCAAAGCCTTCTCCCTAGCAATTCCTATAACTTTAAAAATTCATTAGATCAATAAGAATAGTATTATAATAATAAAATTTCAAAAATATAAATAAAAATTAACTATATAAGTTAACTAATCAATTCATTTAACATATAGCGTGTAAAAACCATCCACAAAATCAGAAACATAAATGTGTTGCGAGAAACATAAAGCCTAGAAAAGGAAGTTAATATTACTTTGTAATTGATTTCAGTATAACCCAATTGAAACCTATCAACAATTGTAAGGGAAAAATCTAACAATCACAAAACTAAAGATTTAACATGATGGGAAAGGTCTAAAAAAAATTGTCAAACCTTAATAGCCGAATAATGCTAATTTATCAGCGTTGAATAAAATCCCTTCGGTTGAGAGCCAAATTGATATAAAATGGGGAGGAGAAGCGATAACCTATTTACTTTGTGAACATCTATGAATCACCTTCTTTCAAGTTTATTAGTTTATAAAATTCTATTAAACCAGCAAAATCAAATGGTGTATTATAAAAATGGAGTGAAACCAGCAATATATATATATATATATATATATATATATATCGTAGTTCCTACGGGGTGGAGATGATGGGGTCGGTCCATGGATTTTCCTTCCTTTTGCCGCATTTCGCTCAAAGGGTTGAAGGGAGATAGTGCATCAAGTTGTTCGCAAGGGACAACTTGGTCCTCTTCCCCAGGATCCAAGATTAGGGAATCCTAGGAGAGCCGCCGACTCCAACTACTGTCCATGTACGATCCATACTAGATCTGACCAACTGCCCA